GCTTGATCAATTTGACCAGCTTCAATGTAAGGTGTTAAGAAGAGTGGTTCACCTGGATCATCATTTGGTTGAATAGGTGTTCGTGGAATGCTTGCTAGAAGACGACGAAGTGGATCAAAACATTGAGCAGAATTAAATAGATAAACAAAGATGAATAGAAATTGCCAAAAGGACATCATTTTTTATTGTATCTTTTGTGTCTTCGGTATTCTTATCAGTAGTTTAAATAAAAGAAAAACGAAGAAATGTGAATATGAAAATAAAATACGGTTGTCTTCAGTTACTTTTCTGTGTTTGCAGTTTGTCAATAACGAAGAAAAATGAAGTGACAATATGAATGATAATAGATGGAAAAGTGTCGTGATACGATGTTAGATATCATCGAAATGACACTCTTTTTTGATATGCAGGTTAATAGGTCATTTTTTCAACTATCATTAAACATATATGTGGCATTACTTCATTCATTAAAGTTTTATTCATTGATTTAGCTGTTATTTTTTTTAAGAAGATAAGTGAAAAGGTTGTAATTTCAATGTGCATTTAGTTTAACAAAGCTAATTTAACGCTTAATATGTGCGTTTGTTGAATTTTTTCAAATCTGACTAGAAAAAACCGCACGCATTGAATATGGAGCGAAAAAAGGCACTCGATTTTAAATAGAAACCGGGGACTAGGGAGACTTATAAAATATTCATACATATATTATATATGAATATATTCCATTTTTATTAGGAGGGTGGATGTGAATGTCGGTGTAGCTGCAAGTGTAAACAAATGAAAGACCAACCCCTATACCCACTTATTTTGTCTGAATGTGTAATAAACATTCATGAAAATACTCTCTAGTCATTTTAGCTAATATTGTGCAACATGCTCATTATTGATATCTAATTATACAGATAATATTAAAATAATGAAAACAATTATGAAAATCATATATTAAATTTATCAATATTAGATGTTATTGATGCATATACTGGACAAATTCTTACAGATATCATACATCATTGTTCAAAAAATAACACTCAATTGTAATATTCATTTTGTATAAAGTTTTGGCTTTTTGAGAAATGCATTTTATGTAATCATAAGATTTGATGTACATATGAATCTTGTTCTTACTCCTTTTTTTCTTTCATATATGCTTCGCATTTGCTTGTTGTTTTAAATAAATCTCAGCTGACTTTAGTGACACAATAAACAATACACACATAGTAATGTTTTAAAACTTTTCGTGATTGTACAATACTTTTATTGGATGTTTAATAATATTTTTCCAGGAAGATAGCGCTGTATCATTAGATACTATAAACAGTACATTGCATATCAAATAAAAGTTCGTTGAAAAAAAGAATTTTCTTTACAAATACATACATTTATGTAGAATTTTCGTTGTCGTATTCTGAAAATTTCTAGAAATTTACGGATCATAGATAAAACACAATGCTGTTTCCGGATAATGAAACCAAAATAAACTGAACACAAACCACTAATCTTTATTTTGTATAATTCATTAAGCCATGAAAACCTCAGCATAATTTTATTAAGTCCTTCATTTTTCTATCATAAATAGTTTGATTCTTTTTGTCGTGAAAAAAGTATTTTGTCGAACTTACGATCCGCAAAAACATCTTATAACTCTTACATGTCTCTAGAGATAAATCTTATTTCAATAGTCTTTCAGAGAGAATCCATAACATCGTCAAGAAATTGAAGCACTCGATAAAATTTAGTTCTTTCATTTGATGTTCTTATCTTGTTCATCATCATCTAAAACCTTTAAATTCAAATTTTTAGCGCATTTCGTTGAGTTATTTAAAAGTTAGTCTGATCCGTCTTTCGAACACGACAGAGGTGATTCGAAGAATACCGTCAAAAATCATTAATATAAAATTGAGATTCTTTTAATAGCTAGAAATTAATAAAAATTTTTGTGTAATATATCCAAAGATAGAGCATTGAAAGCTGAACAAAATGTACCATTTTCATATTATGTTTTCATGAACTAATGCAGAGTTATGTGCCAAATACTGTCCATGACTCATGGTTTTTCCGAGTTAAAAGTATGCCAACTGTTTGCAGTGTATCAGCTGCTATTCTATCATTTTAAAAGATCCCATGCTGAATTTTACATATGCTGTACAGCATTTTATTCTCTACAGAATGGTTACAAAAAAAGTTTAAAAAAAGTTTTCTCATTGAGTCGAAAAATAGCTTGCAATGTTGACCATTCTATCAGTATTTCTAGAGAAAAATTACAATGAATATTTTATCTGTTGAAAAATAGAACTTTCCATAGTTCATGAAGTATCTAGAGCACTTTTCGCGATAGACATAACATATTTCAAAGTTCATATGCTTTTCATCAAAATAAAAACTCAATAGACTATTATCTTCTATGGGACTAGGACCGATCTTGTCATCTCAAATAATCATCAATGACATATGAAAAGAGATAGAAGTTCCAGGAGGATCAATCACGATAAATTTTTCTTTTCTTTTCATTTAAAATGACTTTCTGTTCAAATGTAATGATGTACACAGGTACGAGGAGAGAAATATCAACAGGACAAGAGAATTTTCTGTAGACATCTGCGCTCGACATGCTTTTGTATACGTTTGTAAATCACGCATTCATTTTATAGCTATACTTTTGTATAAACAAATACGTGTTAAATAATTACTTGTATTATTATTCATTTATAAACTCTATTTGTAAACGACTATTTTCTACAATTAATAAGTAATTGATAACTGATTTGATAAAAATGCGTAACGATCAATAGTTTTTTGCTGGTTGCTGTGATGAAGTTGTTTGTTCGTCTAAGTTAACTTTAACGCCTTTGCCAGAGTCTAAAGATGAAAAAGTAACGAAAAAATGTTTTAGAAGTAATTCTTTTAAGAGCTGATTTATTTTATCGGCACAAATTTGATAATGACACCGTTTTCGTTTGTGCCACTCATCGTAGGTCGCTAACGCAGCACTTCTATGTGAGAAAAGAGAAAAATAAGCGTGATACTTGCTTGAGTGTAAGGAAAACATCATCATATGCTGAGGCAGATTTGCGTAACATCATTGTATCACAATTTATCACGTTATTCGAAGTTTTTCAATTGAAAAACTCATACGATAAATTTATTTGTTGACAATGTCGTATGGAAGTTTCAGATAAAATGGAAGTAACAAGAGAAAAACTCCATAACGATGCTTTTGAATGTTTTTTCGATCCTGAATCAATAAGTTGTACAGAGAATTCAATGGAAGACAAAGATCTTGATTATCAACCACTTTTTGATCCTTCAATTGGCCAGAAAAAGTTAAACGAGAAAATAATAACTTTGAATAGTTTCGTTTCTGCCTATGGTAGTAAAAGAAAACTAAATATAACAACTTCGAATAAGGGATTGGAGAATAAAAAATGATGGTTTTTCTTTTCTTAATTCTTGTTCATAAAACTAAATCATATAAGAATTTTCCGTGAAAAAAATATCAGTCACATAAGATGTACGAAAATTGTACATAAACAAAGCTTCATTTTATTGATTATTTCCGTTTCAGCAGACTTTTTCTGTAAACAGATTTATTATTTTAGACTTAAATCAGCATATAATAGACAAAAAAGAAAGAAATATGTATTTTTCTAATCATTTTTTGTATGTGAAGTTGAATGAGTCTCTTCTTCAAAACTTTGTTCATTAAATTGTTCTTTTAAATCTTGCATTTCAATTCGTTTTTGTTCATGAAAAATTTTCAAATTTGTTTTAAGTTTAAAACTTCCGTCTTGATCATTTCTTTCCAAAATACAATAACCACCATTATTAAAATTTTCTAATGTATGAAATTTTTCTACTGGCCAACGATAAAAACGCATTAAAAATAATCTCAAAAATAAACCATGACTAACAATAAGTATATTATTATTTGACATTAAACTATTGTCCATTTCACGAAATAAACTATCCATAAATGAACTAACGCGATCATATACATCAGCACCTGATTCACCATTTCGAAATCGATAAAAAAACCGTCCAATTTT